TGTAAACAGGCGCAACGTAATTTCGTCACTCGGACGAACGATGATGAAGAAAAAGAAAAAACGTACAAATTCCATAAACCTGCTTAACCGTATAGCTACATATTACAGCTATATTGGGGTACCACAAAACGGCTACGAAGTAACTTGTAGTCCAGTGTGGGTGGATGTGTCATTATTTTGTGACCTTTTAATTTAATTTTTATTTTATTTTATGTGTGTATTTTAGTTCACGCAAAGCACAAACCTCGTAGTGCCAGGATAAGACAACAATATACGACGTCTTGTTTTAAAAGTGTAATATTGCCTGCTTGTACCATATGCTGATGAAGGTTTACTAGCTGCAACGTTCATTTATCTGTGGTAATTGTAGCAATGTGAAGCTTAGTTCTACCCCTCGACAGTGTTGCCACTTTGGATGTTTTACATCCAGATTTAGATGTTTTTCCTTGCATTTAGATGGTGTTTTTGACGATTAGATGGTAGATGTTTTCCTAGAAGTTTTTCATTGAGAGTTAGATATTTCATAGCTTGTTTTCTTTCAGTATCCGTTTAATAATTACGGTGTAAAATATTTACTACAATATTTTTGTTTTGGTCTGGCACGTACATTGTGACAACTGCAATTACTTAAATTTGAACTCTCACTGGGGTCAATGCTTAAATATCTGGCAGCCCCGGTACTGATTAAAAGCGCGCATAAATTATACCAACTTTGTTTCAACCGTATCCTCACTGTGCTGACTTTGTGTTTCTTTTTCATGTGATTTTTAAAAAATAATTGCTCACCTTCATATGCGGCTTTCACTTTGAAAAAACCTTTCAACATGCCAAAAGTAAAGTATGAGCAAAATTTAGAAAAGAGTGGCTGCATGATGACAAAATTGAAGACTTGGTGATGGCAGTTCCTGGTGATATGACCAAAGCTCGTTGTAAGTAATGCAAGTAATACATTAAATCGAAAAAAAAAAACAAGACTATAAGATCCATGCAGAGACTAAAAAGCATAAACTGCAGTTCCATTCAAAGATATTACACCGCTGACAAAGCCATACCTTGGATATCAAATCGAATCAAAAATTTATGATTTAAAAATAAAAGGACTGTTAACAGAGAATGAAGAGAACAACTTAGGAAAACGCTGCGATTTCCTTATCTCATTATTCAAGCAACTGAAGCAGAGACTTCCTGAAAATCTAGATGTATTGAAAAATATTTCACTCTTTTCTTTGAGCAACATAATTCAGCTAGTAAAGGACATACCTAAATATTGTAAAGTTATGAAATTTTTGCGGGCTACTGATAATAATAGTGTCGCGGAAGCAGAATATTTTTAAACCAAAATAAACTTAGTTGAATGGACAAACAAAACAGAAACTGAAGCGTTTTTGAATGAAGTGAGACAATTTAAAGATGCCTTATCAAACAGTCTATTCTGTAAGCTCTTTGAATGTGCCATGTCTGCCATGATACTACCCCACTTAAATGCTGACGTAGAAAGAGTTTGATATGAATTATATCTAACCTCAGAAATGGGATGAAACTTGACCTCTTAAATGCTATTTTGATAATAAAATTCGGCCTGATGAAGGTATGAAAATGCTATTCAACTTATCCGCTCCCTGATTGTGTATTAAAAGAAATTGCAACAGCTAAAGCATACCAGAGTCATTTTGGATCTGAAGCTTCAATTTCATTTCATCATCCAAGCTTAGTTTATCCTGTGGATCTTGTGAGGCAGACATCAGTGAAGATGAGGACATGATTCTATAGGATAAGTTATATCAATAGCTATGTAGTTTGTGACTCTTTCCATTTGGATGTTTTTTCTAGATGTTTCTTCACGCAAATGTTTTAAGATATGTTTTGACTCCATTCTGGATGTTTTTGTCAAAGAAAAGTGGCAACACTGCTCCTCGACATTCATTAGCAGTTCTCTCCCTTAGTCTGCTTCCGGTGTTCCATGCTTTACTTGTATTGACACTGTTTTAATCAATTGGTTTGTTTAGCAGCCTGTGGATATCATTGTTATTAATTTCTTTTCACGGTAAGGTTCACTGAGGCTCATGACAGGCTGTCGTGTTTTTCTGCACGCAACGACTTCTTTCTCGTCGTTAAGACCACCATACGATGGTCCTCAATCAATCAACCCAGCTGATCACTGATCGGGTTCGATATTGAATAGAGCCTCGCCCCTGAGTTTATACTTTTCTCTCATCTCTGCTCCGCTACTGAAGTAGTGAAAGATTCCAGCAATTTTACCATTCTTTAGATCCACTGTATTCTTTTTTTCTACACCTCATGATTTTTTGTAATTGTTTCGCCTTTAACAAGTTTAACATTAATTGTTGATTGGTTACCATTCTTCAAATGCACTTCACGGTAATCTTTCATTATAATGATAATGACTATCCTCCGAATAACGGGCACTAAAGATGGCGGCCGCAAAATATCCTTTCGAGCCTCAATCACGTGCCATGTGTTGTAAACATTCAAAAATTGAAGTCAAAACTAATAAGGAACGAGAAAAATGTTATATCAAATTGACTACTTACTGATAATTTTAATAACGGTCCTAAATTATTGCTGCGGAAAATATACCCTAACAGGGCCTCAGTCATGTGTCAATTGCGCACTTCCGGGGACTGTAACGCTACCGCCGAGAGTATCCCCCACTCTTTGGAGGCTAAACTAGATGGCTAGGACTCGCGAGCAAATAAAATGAAGGAAGCTGCAGGAAATGCGGTAGCTGCTGCTCGTGAGTCCCAGCCATCTAGTTTAGACCCAGTCCACGCTGCATGGGTGAATACTCTGGGCGGTGGCGGAAGTCGCCGGAAGTGACACGTGACTGAGGCCCTGTCGGGGTATTTTTTTCGCCTCTATAATTTAGGACCGTTATTCGGAGGATAGCCGATGCTCCATTGCTTTCCCTTTCATAACTTAGCACTCTAACTACAAGGCAGAACTCTCAGCTCTATTGATGGCAGCACAGTATATGAACAATCTGCAAATCACCGCAGGCAGGATAGTTTTTCTCACCGACTCACTGTCAGCTGTACAGGCCCTTGAGTCCAAATCTACCGACAGCACACTACAAAGTATAACACAGGAACTTGCTATGTTGTCAAATAAGGCAGAAATTCACTTGCAGTGGATTCCGTCTCACTGCGGCATCAAAGGCAATGAAAGCGCAGATGCTTTAGCCAAGGAAGGCAGTAACAAACTACAGACCTACCAGCCACTATCTTTTCCAGAAGTCAAAACTCTCATTAAAGAAAATCAGAAACAGACTGGAAAAACAACACTGGTTTATGACTACGGAAAAGATTTTCTGAGGCACTTGAACAGAACAGACCAAGTCACAGTTTTTCGCTTACGCACTGGACACTGCAGACTCAATAAACACTCATATAAATTAGGTATGAGCCAAACAGCTCTCTGCCAGTGTCTTCGTGCTGAACAGACTCCAGAACATGTCCTGCAAGACTGTCCTCTCCTGGCGGAGCTGCGGAGCGACATATGGCAACACCCAGTAGAACTGACAACTAAGCTTTGGGGAAACCTAAGAGACCTTGAAAAGACATCCCAGTTTATAACCCACAGTGGATTATGCGCATGACCAAAGATCGCTGAAGAAGAAGATAACTTAGCACGTAATGCATATAATATGATGATGATGTCATTTCCTATTAAACTACAAATGCTAATCTGCCTTTCATCCAGTAGATGATAAATAAAATATGATAATACTTAAAATTGTGGTCCAAATCATATTATATTTCTTAACTGCATTTTCTAGTGCTGATTTTGACCCACAGTACCCCCTGAGGGACAGACCAAATGATATATAAAAACTGTGGACTGTTATTACAGCTGAAAGTTGTGGTTGTTCATCCACTTCTGGACTTTGGTCTTGTTCCAGTCTAAAATTTGAATTTTCTGCTATCCCCCGAACAACGGTCCCAAATTATCGAGGCCAAAAATATACCCTAACAGGGCCTCAGTCACATGTAAATTGCAAAGCTCCGGCGGCCACCGCCGAGAGTATTTCTCGCGCCGCTAGATGGCTGGGACTCACGAGCAAATAAAATAAATGAAGCTGCAGGAGATGCGGTAGCTGCTGCTCGTGAGTCCCAGCCATCTAGTTTAGCCCCCCTCCACGGCCCGAGAGATACTCTAGGCGACGGTAGTGGTTGCCGGAAGTCCGCGATTTACATGTGACTGAAGCCCTGTTACAGTATATTTTCGGCCTCGATAATTTGGGACCGTTATTCGGAGGATAGCTAAATTTTCTTTTGCTGGCGTATCCGCTTAATTGTATGCAGTTTATTGGTTCCTCGCCTCCCAGGCAGTTGCAGTTGCGTTTCAGAGTCACAAAACAAGCAACTCTTATTAGTCAACTTTTATGACATGCTTGAGAAGGGCTAGTGGGTTCATTCCCCCCCCCCCCCCCCCCCCAATTCTCACAGGTTATAGTGATACTCGTTATAATTACGACCTCGACCCCACCTCACCTCAAAATATAAAAAACAGTACTGTGCCATTGACATCACCTCAAAATATAAAAAACAGTACTGTGCCATTGACATCACCTCAAAATATAAAAAAAAAACAGTACTGTGCCATTGACATCACCTCAGAATATAAAAAAACAGTACTGTGCCATTGACATCACCTCAAAATATAAAAATCAGTACTGTGCCATTGACATCACCTCAAAATATAAAAAACAGTACTGTGCCATTGACATCACCTCAAAATATAAAAAAAAACTACTGTGCCATTGACATCACCTCAAAATATAAAAAACAGTACTGTGCCATTGACATCACCTCAAAATATAAAAAAAACAGTAGTACTGTGCCATTTACATCACCTGAGTATATGTGTGTGTTTGTTTATTTGAATAAAACTAGTTTTGTAATTTTAATCTTTCCATTTGTTTAGCACTAGAGAAGAGAAAGATACACCTGGTTCCCAGAGACAAAACAAATTTTGTGAAAATGAAGGGACATACAGTTACCAGTAAACCTGCAGCAGTGATGAAGGTAACATTTGGAATTGGAATGTATATATATCTAGTTGGCTTTCATCGATGCCCTTTTTTTTTTTTTTTAAATACTGAAGATGATTGCCTGTTGTCACACAAAATGATGTTTTGTTTTCTTGTAAAACTGAACTATATTTATTTTCTTCTGCAGGGTGGTTGCTATGTTGTGTTGTTTTACAGCTAGCCTGTGGTATCTTCCTCTTTCTGCCCAACATATCTGATTGAGGCAAAGTAATAATTACAACTTGTTAAGTGATAATGGGTCTCTTCTTGTTCTCTCCCAAAACGGGTCCAGAACCCCATGATGAGGGGGCTTTGTCCATCAGATGAGCACGAGACCTTTAGGAAAACAGGGTTCGTAGTGGACCGAGAAATCTTGAATTGACCGTGATTTTTTTTATCGGACCAGGATCAGTGATTTTCAGCTTGAGAAAGACATTCTGACCTTGAGAAGCCGTGAATTTTGACCGTCGCAATGAAATCGTCGGAAATCCTGCTATTTTCAGCAGTTGGGCAAACTTTGGGGGCATTTTGGCTTTTTTTTTTTTTTTTGCCATTTGGATCGTTTATGGCTACTTTCATTAACGATCATTTCAGGTGTGAGGGCAGCTGATTATTGGCTATTTTCAGCTGAAATGGCTTGTTAAAGGGAAGGGCGGGCTGTGTTGCAGCTCATAAATACATGCAGACAGCAGGGCGTGGCATGGGGCGGGAAGGAGCAGCTGCGGTCTCGCGTGTTCGTGTGCCTTTGTTTCTAACGAGTCTGGCTAACTAACAGTATAAATCGTTTTATGGCCTTGGTTTCTAGAAAGATTTACATTGGGAGATGGCGGGGCTCGGTTTGGTTGTATTTATAAATAGAGTCGGACGTGGTGGGAGCTAAGCTCAGCCTTTTCTATTAATTAGAGACGGCATTGGGGCTAAGTAAAGTGACTGTCAGCTGGGTTTCCCAGTTCTATTTTTGCCTGGTTTTATCTTTACAGTGTGTTTGGCGATCAGTATTGTAATTCCCTGAGATTCCCTCTTCTATTGTCTCACCCCTCTCTCTTTCTCTCTCTCTTCCCTCCCTCTTTCACTCTTCTACCTATTGCTCCTTCCTTCCCGTCTCCTGCATTGTCTCTAACCCTCCCTTCTGATCTTCTTCTCTTTCTCTCTTTCTTTCCTTTTACTCTCTCATTTCCTGTTCCCCCCCCCCCCTTTTTTTTCATATTTTATTTCTTGTTTAAATGTTTAGTAAATGTGCGGCTCCATAACTCTTTCCCTAGCAACTCAAGAACACAGGAAGTTGTGTTATGGGGGGGGGGGGGGGGGGGTGTCGTTCAGCGTGAACATGGTGGATATTTTCTTTTGATGTGTTTGTTTTCTTTGCGGGCCTTAATCTCTGTCCATCTCCCTACCTGCCCCCTCACATTTTGTCTTACCTGTTTCTCACTCTCTGCCTGTCTGTCGCTGCTTTCCTCTCTCTTTCTCTTTGTATTAGCCGCTCTCCTCCCCCCCCCCCCCCCCACTCTCTCTCTCCATCCCTCTCTTTCTCCATACCTTCAGTTGGCGTAGAAGGTTATGTGTTGCCTAGTGCAGAACATTTCATGTCCACCACTTCCCCCTCCCCCACACACATATTAAATATGTGTACTTTTAAAAACACATTTGTCGTCACCACCCCCCCCCCCCCCCCCCTCCTCTTTCTCCTCCCACATTGAGGACACCTAGGCGAGGGGGTGCACACCCCTTCCTGCTACCTTCTTCCCTCTATATCTCATCTTATTTCTTACTCCCTTCTTTCTCTCCTTGTCTCAGTTCCCACTTTATTTTCTTAAACTTTATTCTGTTACCTTTCTCACCTCCTCTGTCTCACCCTTACCACCTCAGCCTTCTATGCCACCTTCCACCACCTGCTCTCCCCCCTCCTTTCTGTAATTGGAAAACCAGAAATTAAACTAAGTCCACTGGTGCCCTGACCTATTTGTGTCTGTGTGTGGGTAATCTGTTCTATTTTCCACCAGTGGTGGGTTGGGATCCCCTGGACTTTTTTTCTTCTTAAAATGACCTTGGCTCTCAGGTCACCAGCCTTAAGTGTAAGAAATTGAACTATTGTTATCACACGCAGATAGGACAAGCACGGGGCAGTAGGGGTTAGCACTGTTGTTTATGGACCACAGCCCCCCACCCCCCTTGCCCCCCACAACCGTGTCTTACGGTTGTGTCCACTACACTTGAAATTGTGTTTCTTTCAGCACGAAGCTGTTTTTTTTTTCTTTTCTTTGATGTATCTTGTCTCCCTTCCTGCCCCTCTCTCTTAATCCGTGTTTGTCACTGCCTTCCTTACCCATCTCTCTCTCTCTCTTGCTTTATGTCTGTTTGCCTCCCTTCATCACTTCCTCTTTGTATACCTCCCTCCCATTCTCCTGCTCTGCCTTTTTTCTCTTTCTTTGGTTCTCTCCCTCTGTCTGCTTGTCTCTCTATGCTCTCCCTTTGTCTCTCTCCTTTATGTCTACATCTCTCTCTCTGCTTGTATCTGCTTCTCTCCCTGTCCGTTCTCTCTTCCTCTGTCTCCCTTCTTTCAACTCTCTTTGACATATTTTCCTCCTTCCATATCTCTGTTTCATTCCCTTCTTCCTTCTCTCTTCATCTGCCCATCTCTGTATCTGCATTCCCTCTTTCTGTATTTATCTCCCTCTCTGTCTTTCGCTATCCCCTCCCCACTTTCCCTCATCATGTCTCCATCCCTCCCTCTCGTTTTTTCCTCCTTCCCCAGACTCCTTTTCCTTCTTTCCTCTACCTTCATCTGTCCATCTTTACAGTCTCTCCCAGCCTACCTCAGCATGTGTCTTCCTCCCTCTCTGCATGACTCTCTCTCTCTCTCTCCCCCTGACCCTTTCAGGTACCATGTCCAGAACAGACAGGACTTCAGTTTGCTGCCCTCTACCACCAAGTCTTGAAAAAAAAACACTATATCAAGCGCAGGGGCCGACCAACACGAAGATGGGCACAAGATATAAATGACTCCTTGAGTACAAAAAAGGACATGAGACGGGAGAGCTGGTGAGAGACCAAGTTTTTTTTCAGGACAAAGGAAATGCTAGATGATGATGATATATGTGCTGGTATATCAACACATGTGGCACGAATGAAGTACATTGTGTGCTCGGTACACCCTTGAACAAGGCAAAAATCTTGTTTCAGTATTACACCAAGACAACCTTGAAAAAAAAACTAAGGAGACCTTGAAAAAGATCTTGAAAAGCCTTGAGATTGATTGGTAAATTTGGCTATGAACCCTGGGAAAATGAGACAAAAGCCTAGAAAGAAATGACTGGAGAAATTTAATGATGAACTAAATAAAACAAAGTAAAAGTGATGGATAAGATTAAAAGATAATTGTAATAAAGACAATAAAATTATAATAAATTTTCCCCCATCTTTCGCTAGTCTCGTCTATATATTGAATCTATTTTATCAACACAGTATTTATAAATTAGCGTGAATATTCTGGTATGTGCCTTGAAACATGTGGTTGCATTGCACATTTCTGTCACCAAAATTTGAAACTTTGCACTTGTCTAGTACATCTTAGTTTGGAATAAAAGTTATTGAAGATGGTTCACAATGCAATCCTTAACATGTACCAGGGTTTGGTTCCCCTAGGGTGGGCAGATGAAAATGAGACATCTCTCATGGCTTTTAGACGGTGGTACAAGAGTCACACCAAGGAAGAGATTGGTGCCTCATCACATATTCCCATAGTTAGTGGATACATTGTAGCCCATCTCCATTAGTAAAAACACCTTTTTTTTTAAAATTTAATTTGTGAATAAGCTTGTGGATATTCTGGTTTGTGCTCAAGCAAAGGCAGCATTTCACAAAATGAAGAATATTTTAAGCAGTCTTTCTTCATCATTTGAGACGAGAAAGAAATGTCTTAAATGCTATATAAATCCTATATTGATATACGGAAGTGAATCATGGACAGTTAGTAAAATAGTGAAAACTTATTTGGAAGCTGTAGAGATGTGGTTTTTTTAGACGAATGTTGAGAATACCTTGGACATATAAAAAAGAGTAATGAAGATGTCTTGAAAGAAACTGACTCACAAAGAGAACTCATCCTTCTTTGTGTTTACTGGCTGTAAACCCTGGTGGAAAGCTCTGGTTGTTTGTCCACCTCTGCACTTCAGTCTTATTCCAAAACCTAAATGTGTACACATCCATTTAACAGATCTGACTTAACTGTATGCAGATTGTTGGTTCCTTGCTTCTCAGGCAGATACACTCCAACTTCAAAGGAAGCCCCCTATTAGTCGACTCCTAGGACATGCTTGTTGGGGAGGCAGCTGATATATTCTTGTTTTGCCTGCAATGGGCCCCGATTCCATACAGGGAACGAAGAGAACTGATTGCCAACATCAAAAAGAGACAATCTACATTGTTTTGTCATGTGATGAGAAAGAGAAAAACTGGAGTACATTGTGACGGTATGAAAGTTGGAGATGAGGAGAGGCAGAGGGAGACAGAAAGAACAGATGCTGGACAGTTTGACATCATGCCATGTAGGATCATCTGTGTCAGAGTTGATTGAAAGTACACAAGACAGAAGGTTATGGACAAACATCACTACCAACGCCACATGACTTGTAATTTAAGAAGAAGCTCCACAACAAGTATCTGCATTGACAACTATTATCCACAAATACATTTCAAGCATGTCACTTCTCTTGTATAAGTGTATGGCTACACTCTGAATTGATCACATAAATGTTTCTTTCATCCACAGAATAAACAGGAGGCAGATAACCAAAAGAGATTGATGGCAATAAAAGAAAATTTGAAACTGAAGCAGGCACAACAAAGTATCGGTTTAACTGCTCTAAAAGATGTGGTCGGTTTTTTCATATTATTTTTGTGTGTGTGACATGAATGAATGAATAATTATATCATTGAACTTGAGATGTTCTACTTTTGCTTCTTTCTCTTTATTTGTAGCCGGGCAGAAAAGTTCCTATCATTATTAATGTGTTCAGATAGTCTTTTGTATAGAAAGAGCTTTGCTTGATTGTGACCACCTCCTTTCCAATGCCGTTTTTTAAACACAGAAACATTTTTTAAAAACCTGTCTCTATTCTCTATCATTGTTTTTGTGGCTATGAATTAATTTTCTGCCTTCTGGGTTGTTTATTATGCACTTAACAGGTTTTCTTTTCAAAATGTGCAGAAGTTGTCAGAATTACGATAGGCAACCCCACGTTAAGTAAACAAAGGGACCACACAGTTAACCTAAGACTTTGATGGTGATATATTCACTGTAACAATGGGCTGTGTTTTTGTATGTTTCAGTTGAAAGGATTCATGTTTTGTTCTTCATTATCCGTGTCAATGTCACGCTTTTGATTGGTCTGTAGTGTCCCGTTTGTGGGGCGGAAATATTTATGAGATAAGGATTTGAGTATTTTAACTAACAGTAGTAGTGGTGGGGGGTTCCTTCAAACTTATTCCTTTCTAAAAGCTAGGTTGATTTCAGATCTTTCCTTAAGCCTCAGTGATAGAGGTCAGGGCATGAGTCACCTGATCCATATTTTATATCCGGGGGAATGTATTTCATTTACTTCTTGACTGTCTTCATGTTTATTGATTACAGCCTTATGTCTTTATATTTTTTTTTGTTAAAGTAATGTTAGAATGTACATATATTAATTATTTTTAAAAATAATTAAAAATTAACTTTAAAATGTATGTTTCTAAAGGATTCAACTAAAAAAGAAAGAAATTCCCATGGGGTTATGACACTTTTTTTAGCGATATCAGGGTGGCAGCAACATATGCCACTGCAAAAAATTGTGCGATGTATAATTTGGGTGACTGTCCCTACCGGACGAGGCTGTCCTTAGACTTCCATTAACGTCCTTCGTGTGATTCCGTCTGTGTTTTCTTATTTGGGTAAAAAGAAAGAGATGAACACTGTTCTTTAGCCACATAATGAGAAGAGAGACATTGGAGAACATCGTGACAACTGGGAAGATCAGTGGAAAAGGGGGAGAGGCAGACCAAGAGAGATGATGCTGGATGGGCTGAAACGATGGCATGGAGGGATATCATCAAAAGAGCTGTTCGAGGCAACCAGAGATTGTGATCCGTGGAGACGAATGAGCGCCTATGCCAGTTTACAAGGCACATGATGATAATTTGGGTCCTTATTCAAATATATTTTCTGTTTATTAGGAAGTTCTATGACTGACTAATTTTAATGTAATTCTGAACACAAACTTATTTCTTTCTGCTTTTTTTTCCCTCAACAGGATTCAAAGAATCTTGGACAGAGAATAGTGTTTAAAGATGATTCAAGTGATGAGGATGATAAAACAGGCAAAGATAATGTAAGTTGTTTGTGAAGCAACATTAGTTATAAAAAAAAAAAATAATATTCATGAACTAATAAAATTGCTTTGCCTTATTCAGGCCATTTTAGAGTATCTGGAGCATAAACTTCAATCCTGTCACTCCAGTACTCTTCATCACCTGTTTTCCTAAAGTTGATGTTGGTTATATTATTTTTGTTTATTTCCTTATACATCTGTCTGTTTTTCCTGTTCTTCTTTTGCCTAAAATTATCCTGCATAAGGCTACTTGATCTGTTCTGCCTCTTCTGTTGATTAAAGTAAAGGTCCTTTTTCCACCCTTTTTAGGCGTATTGAGAATATAGGGCTGGACTAAAAAAAATTTTTAGACCAATCGGCACTTGGTGGGTGGTGTGGTCAGCATCACTCTGGCCGCCTTTACTTTCCAGGACTGCACCTGGTCCCCACTCAAGACTTATATTGATGAAAATGATGAATAATATGACCTTATTGCTGTCAGCAGTAAATAATAATTTTTTTACCCTAATTTGACATTTCAGCAGTTAAATGTTAAATATTCCTTTTTTCGATCTTTTATATTTCTTGTCAGTTGCAGAAGAAGCTCACATTGTTCGACAGTGAAGATGAGGAGGAAGACACAGAGGACATCTTCAAATCCAAACCTCACATGGAAGGGAAAAAGGGTGAAAAGGTATTATTGTCTGTAGATAATTGCTGAATTGTAGTTTATGAATGTGTCATTTTGAAACACTTCTTTGTTGGGGGGGGGGGGGGGGGGTCTTATCTTATTTTTCCTATGGGGGAAATAGTCTGTACGCAGATTACACATCCATTAACAGTAGCATGAATAAAAATTTGGGAATGACTTGTCATTGTTAATTCAAAGTTATTACCAATAAGTTTAAAACATTTAAATCAACAAGCACTGAGGACTACATCAGTTGCTTTCAAAATGTATTCATGGCATCATTTCTGAACTACAACAGAAATTAGATCATATATCATCCTTGTGCAATATCTCAGGTTAGTTAGTCGTTAGTCAAGGTTCCACCTTCACCACAGGTGGGTTGCCCCATAACTGTTCCCATCCTGTGCCAGTGGAAATCATACAAACTGTCTCATGGTCCCATTTGAAGATTATGGACAGTCCCAGCAAAATCTTGAATTTCACACAAGCAAAATAAGTGCATAAAACAGCCGTCAGATGTGTCAACACTAACATTCCCACACCAGAATTGCAGCCCACTGTTAATGCAAGCAGTCAGTTATGAAAGTTGGCATTACACTCATAATGCTGCATAATAAGTACATGACATTCTCAGCTGCCCATCATTTAAAATATCAGTTGCAACAGTTAATCTCCAAGGTGATATTTACCTGGTTCTCACTAAATAATCACATTTTGAGAACTCCATTGCTGATGTGGAGAGATCTGATTCCATGAAATAATCACATTTTGAGAACACCATTGCTGATGTGGAGAGATCTGCTTTCCATGAAACAATCACATTTTGAGAACACCATTGCTGATGTGGAGAGATCTGCTTTCCATGAAACAATCACATTTTGAGAACACCATTGCTGATGTGGAGAGATCTGCTTTCCATGAAACAATCACATTTTGAGAACACCATTGCTGATGTGGAGAGATCTGCTTTCCATGAAACAATCACATTTTGAGAACACCATTGCTGATGTGGAGAGATCTGCTTTCCATGAAACAATCACATTTTGAGAACACCATTGCTGATGTGGAGAGATCTGATTCCATGAAATAATCACATTTTGAGAACACCATTGCTGGTGTGGAGAGATCTGATTCCATGAAATACCAGGGCATAATATTTTATAGAGGCCTAACATTTTACAATTTTTAGACCACATTGTAACCAAAGCCAAGAAAGGTCTCTACAATAAAATGTATGGCAGCAGTAAGCTTTGAGCAACGGCTACTTGTAACGTGTTATGGGTTAGTTCTCTCCAACATCTGATATGCGCTCGCCATCATACACTTAGCACCACATGGATAAACAGATTGGGACAAATTGAAAACTATTCATTCTGTCACTCGTAATTTTGTTCGTGCGAAGTTAGCAAGTTTTATGTTCCATTTTTGTCAATTTACTGGTGGCATAATTGTGTACAAGTTATTACTTCTTTCTTCATACCAAATTCTGTGGATTTAAATATCTTCATGTTTTAACCTGGCTGTTTGTTTCTTTAAACTGCCACAGCTGATGAGAATGGAGCAGAAAATTGGGGACCCGAGGTTTAAACTTGATGCCAGATTTGCTCTCTCCGACAGCGAGGAGGAGGAGGGTGATTATGAAGACAGAAATAAACCTCTAACAGGTAATCATGAATGATAAATGTATGGCCCTTAATGTGTGTGCTGCCTAATTAATGATTTGGGAATTTACATATCTGCATTTGGGACATTCCCATACATGCTCTGTCCCCTTCTTCAGTAGTCAACACAGAGTTCCCATACTGGTGAGGATGCTAGCTGCAACCTAATTAAACATTCACTTGTTGCCTTTGCAGGTACAGCTTTATTTCATGTGAAACATTTCTTGAAAATCTTCTACTTCAGCATGGCAAAGTTGATTGCTCCAGTTATCACCCACCTCCATTCCTTCCTGTGGTTGGTCTTCTCTTTCCGACTGGAGACTCCAAGTTTTTGTAGGTTTGTCTGTATATTATCCCTCCACCATCTTCTTGGTCCCCAGCATGGTCTTCTCCCATTCAGCTCTCTGTGTATCCAGCTTTTATCTCTCTTTTAACTTCCAGTCTCTCTGTATGCCCCAACAGTTGCAGTCGTTAGCCCTCATAAGTATTAGTAGCGATTTAAACATAATTCTTCTTGTGTGCGCTTTCTGATTTACACTGACAGACGGGTTCTTGTTATAGAGCTTGACTGTTTTTAGGAGTTCCGTTTTATTTCCATACATATTTGAGTACAGTGTTGACTCAGTGAGCCAGTATTCCCTTCCTAATGGGCCATAGAAGGGAAATTTGTGCAGGATATGTTCTGTAGTCTGCCCACACGGGCACAATGGGAAACTACTTATAAAAAGCCTGTGCATATGCTTGTTAAGTTTGTTATGTCCTGTCTTGAGGTGTAGAATAATGACCTGCCCATGCCGGTCAAGTAAGTGGTAGACTGTATGACCCTTTTATTCTCAAAGTATGTTACTGCATTCTCTTCCTGTTCACATTTAACCCCTTTCTTAGCAAGTTTCTTAAATTGCAGACCGGTGACTATACCGCCACCGCAGAGAGTATCTCCCGCTATGCGCAGAGCGGGGCTAAATTAGATGGCTGAGACTCACGAGCAGCAGCTTCCGCATCTCCTGCAGCTTTGCTCGTGAGTCCCAGCAGTCTAGTTTAGCCCGATACTCTCGGCGGTGGCGGTATAATCGCCAGAAGTCCGCAGTTTACATGTGACTGAGGCCCTGTTTTAGGCGCCCATAATATGTGGATATTTTTCGAAGGATAGCCCGGTTTCGTTTCCTGGTATACCACAGTGGGATGGCACCCACTGGAGTACAGTGCGCTTTTGGGCAGCCACCTTGCCAAGTCCAGATCTCATGTGAGGGAGTTTACCACTCTTGTAGGCTTGGGGCATCAGAGCACATCTGTGAAGATGACCAATTGGTAGCAGTCAGAACTGGTGTTGTGTAACAATTCGGCAGCCTGCTGTAGTGCTAGGATCTCTGCTGTGTAGTTGGAACAGAATTTACCTGTGGGTACTTACTTTGTGTGGTGGTGGTTACCTTATCATTAGTATACGGTGCTTATGACTTCAGATTTTTTGGTTTAGCATAAACTTATTTTTTTAAGTCTTATATTATTTCTCTCATTTTATTGTTCTCGAATAAGACATCGACAAAAGTCTGGCAGAGGAGAAGCTTGCCAGTTTGAAGGTTCTAGAAAATGTTGTTGGCAAGACAACTTTGGCTCGATTCTCAGAAAAACTGAAAAGGAATGTCAAGCATATCACGTAAGTATTTAAAGTTTAAGACAGAGAGAATGCTGGCTGAATGCAGGAGCAAAGGGCAGGATGAGTTGGTTAAGGGCATATGCTCCATTCAGGGATAAAGAACAGCAGAAGCGGAGGTACAATAATTTTATGTCACCCCAAACAAAGGAAACCCCATAATCCCCAGTCCAATCCACCCTTCTAGGGGTTTTATGTGTTGGATGGTTGTCAGCATTTATTTTGTCGTCATTCTCAGTGTGTGATTTTCTTGCATCATCATTCTTAGTTTGTTTTTGGCCTTTTTGGAAGCAGCACTCCCTCTTACTTCCTGTTGTCATGAATTTTCTTGATTTGTCAGCATTGGTGCATGACAAGCAGAGCAGCATTGTCTTTGTGCAGCAGCTTGGCATCTTGTATTTATCCAGACGCTGCTCCAAGAGATCTCATGGTGCTTTCACAGACTGACAGTCAGGAGCGGCAAAAGAGAGAAACAAGAGGCAGAATGGGATGCATAGGCATCTCCTAGAATCCTGTCTGTACACATTCTTGTCGTACGCCACTCTTTATGCTTTGAAATGTACCTAAACAGTTGTGAATTCCCATAGCTGCTTTTTGCTGCCAATACATATTCTTTATTATTCGTAGATCTTTTTCCATCAATGTTGAATTTTTCTAACAGTTTGATTACTTCTTTATGTTTCACACAGTCAAATGCTTTTGTATAGTCTGTAAACCATAAGTAAAAATCAGTCTTTACTTCTAAAGCTCTTTCTGACAATGTCCTTAGGATGTATATGGCTTGTTTGTACCTTTTTCTACTACAAATCCACATTTTTCATCGCATATCGTATACAGAACTTTCGGTCAAAATGGACACCAGGCGCGATTACTGTTTTGCGCCGAGGCAGATTTTTTGCTTCTGCTGGACTGTGGCCGTTGCATTTTTGATCTATTTGTTGACCGAAAAGATACAGTTTCGTCGCGCCAGCTACTGAGTTGAGTGCATGGCACGACCCTGTGAGCTGCAGATTTCATTTGGAATGTTTTTCGACTGTGATCAACCTGGTGTTGGGAACTGTAGATTCAGAAAATGGTGCGTTGCCTGTCGCTGCAATATTGGTGGTGCCCTTATGTGATTAATATTGATCGCGTGCGCAACTGGCTGATCTGTTAGCGACTTCTGCTACCGTCGATGATGAACTGCATTTCTAATGTTAGACTGTTTGTGTTAGCACTTCTGATGGCTACCGTATGCTTTTAATGCGGGTGTATGCTAGTGCATGTGCTGAGACAACAGTCTGCCAGTCTTTCCACAAGGGACTGCGACGGACATTCTGTGTGTTTTTCGTTAGCACAGGAGTGGAGCAACTATGGGGTGACTCGTTTGCTATGAAGCTGAAACTAAGATTACCAAGATTGCCTGTCTCTACGAGATTATGTGATATAGACCCATTAAATATGCTGGCCTCAACACGTTCGCAACCATTTTTGCTGACATCACTTCTGGCCACTGCAACAACAGCAGTTCAGTCAGTCAGTTGTTAAAATCGCGATGACATCTCCCGATCACCAAACCTTGTAAAATGTATAAATGACAGTTCATTGGTAACCAAGCAGTATGCATACATTCAGACTGTCAGCCTATCTTCTTCCCAAGATGATGGACCCCTGAGATATCCCTAATTCTCAACCCCTTTAATGATTGCTCATAGAGTTCATTCACACAATAACACACACACAAAATTGCAGCACAGTTGTTCACGTAAAGACACAGTTGCACAGCAGTTTGTAGGGGGGAAAATGTGCATGTACACCATTTTTTCCCACCCTGTGCACTTACAATGTTCCGCACATTGTGTGATCACAGAATGAAGTCATTATATAACACCCTAGAATAGTGGACTTGACTGGGGATTCCGGGGTTTCCTTTGTTTGGAGTGACATAAAATTATTGTACTGAAGTGGAATAATGAATTGAATGTTGCAAGAGCTACACAGGGAGACGGACGGTGTGTCTGTTTCCTCATGTCATTGTCAACACACAAGGCATTCACAGGCAATCTACTTTGCTCCCTGTCTGCTGCGTTTTTGCCTATAGTATCCAATTCATTTTGCATTCCTTCATTTCCCTTTTTACTCTCTTCTCCTGATTTCCTTATGTCATTCACCTCTCATCTTCCATTGAAGAGCTGTCTTTGCCAAAGTATCACGAGACCTGCTGCAAACATGTTCAAGCCATTTCCATCTTCTTCCTTGGATAATATTTGCCAGTAATGAACATTCAGCAGCAGACATCTTTCTGAAGAGTTAGTAGAGCAGTGTTCTTTAAGGACCAGCAGCGTGATGATCAGTAAAGGCTGAATCCAGTTTTATTAGCCAGCTGCTAAGTTGAGTGCCTGGTGCAGCACTATGAGATGTGAATTTCCTATGGAATGCTCATTGCCTGTGCTTCAGGACATATGTGTTTGAATTGCATATTCAGAAAATGGCAAAGAGTTGTTTGCCGCAGATTTTGCAGTGTGTCTTATGCAATATTGCTTGTGCACCTGCTATAAGTGCTGCTTCTATCAAAAGCAGTGAAGTGGTATACCATAAGTGTTAGCACCTGTGGTGGCTGCCTTGTGCTTTTGATGCATGTTAGAGCTGTTGGATTTTGCCACGACTACGGTTTGTCAAACAGTTAACATTGGACAGTGATGGGCATTTCGTGTGGTTTTCACTGGCACAGGAGCAGATCAGTTATGGGGGTGACCCTTTTGTGATGAAATTGGAACACTGTCCGATAGCATTATGCATTCTGCTGATGGCATTTGTATGAATCTTTCATTGAACTGCATGTATTTACCATGTCTGAGGTGAAAGCAGGGTGGTATTTGAGACTAAGGATTTAGGATCACATGGCTAGCTCTGTTGCAAGTTCTGGTTTTAATTTTGCCTCTGACAGAAATAAATCTGTAACCTGGATTTCCCGCAGGAGAGCCCATTGCTCTGAACTATTTGGCCAGCTGCTGATCTCTGTTGAACATAACACAACATGTGTTGTCATAAGTTGTGTGTTATATACACTCGAGACTCTGAGACCTTGTGCTATCCCTCTGTCGAGACTTATTTACAGGTAAAAGGACCAGTTTCATTAGATGGTCAATTTATCTCATATTTCTTGCTCTCCCTTTATAGAGCATCTGGTTACCCACCAGTAGCATTACACCAACCACAAGCTCAGCTGCAATCACAGGGTGACGAGGACCTTCTGCATCACCTTTGAAAGCACAATTGACATGTTGTTTACAGCTAGTCTGTGATAGCTGCGTATTTTGACCCAACTCTGCCAATTTCAGCAAATGCTTAATTTCTCCCACTTAATGACCTGCTTGTTTGGGCAGAAACTATTCTCTCCCCCCCCCCCCCCCCCCCCCCCCCCCCACCCATAATGGGACCCTTGAACCTGCACAGGGAGGCGGAGACCAAAACTGAAGCTCAGCCTTCAGAGAGGTTGGCTGTTGGTTTAGTAACTTGGCCACACTGACAAGAATCATAATTTTGAAGTTTGTTAATGAAGTGTTGACGTATCTTCTATTATCAGAGACATGAATAAACTTCGATTTGATCCGACCAAAATACAAAATTCAGAAGCAGTGTCTGTTGACAAGAAAAAGATTTCACAGCCAGACAAGACAGTACCACCCAAGTAAGAAACTTCTTGAAATCTGATTTTTCTGATATTTATTTCTTTTGATTACGTTTAAAAAAATATATATTTATATATATTATTATGGCATCTATGACTTAGGGGCTATGACCACAATGTCACCAACCTACCAGTGTTACGTATTTAATATGTAATACAGGAGTTTCTTTTATAACTAAGCTCAAAATTAAGATTCTGCCCAACCATTATGAAAGTGATTTATCATCATCATCAAGTGCCTTGCTAGCTGGTGAAGGCCTTCAAGCATCTCCACAGATCTCACACTTTAGTGTTCTGGATCAGTTCCACTGATGATATTCCTCCATGCCACCGTCTGAAGCCATCCACCATTATTTCTCTTGGTCTGCCTCTGCCTCTCCTATCAGTGATCTTTTCAGTCATCACAATATTTTGCTGTACTCCTTTTTTTCATTGTATGCTCAAATAAATGTGTTTGTCTCCTTCTCATTGTTGTAAATAATTTTCTACTTTCATTAGCCATTTCCAGGCAATCATTGTTAGTTTATCTCAGCTTTATGATTTTTGCTGTAGAATTTAAAGACAGTTTTATGAGTGCATGTTTAGGGTTAATGATGTTCTGTAGCTTGACAGTACACAGAATATCATCAGACAGTCCTTTTACCTGACAGTACACAAAGGCTCATTAGATTGCCATTTATCAAACAGTACACAAAGGCTCATCGGATGGCCATTTATCAGACAGTACACAAAGACTCATCAGACGGCCATTTATCAGACAGTACACAAAGGCTCATCAGATGGCCATTTATCAGACAGTACACAAAGGCCCATCAGATGGCCATTTATCAGACAGTACACAAAGGCTCATCAGATGGCCATTTATCAGACAGTACACAAAGGCTCATCAGATGGCCATTTAACAGACAGTACACAAAGGCTCATCAGACTGCCATTTAACAAACAGTACACAAAGGCTTATCAGATGGCCATTTATCAAACAGTACACAAAGGCTCATCAGATAGTACACAAAGGCTTATCAGATGGCCATTTATCAGACAGTACACAAAAGCTCATCAGATGGCCATTTATCAGACAGTACACAAAAGCTCATCAGATGGCCATTTATCAGACAGTACACAAAAGCTCATCAGATGGCCATTTATCAGACAATACACAAAGGCTCATCAGACATCCTGTATCTAAAAATACAAAATAGTTTATCAGACAATTCTGTACAGCACTTTATTACACTATAAACAACACAAGCTTCATTAAAATATTAGATACCACAAGAGCTGCTGAGTCATGAACGCCAAGCCCTTTCAGTGCCCAACATTGAAGTAGAAGCAAAATATATTAAGAAATTTATGATACATTACATTTCTCAATCAAATTGTCCTATGGTATGTGTTTTCAGTCACGGAAATTTGGTTGACGTCAAAGCAACCTCCGTCAAAAAGAAAACTGACAATGTGAAGAAGCCAGTTGATGACGTAAAGAAGCCCACAGTGAATGAGGTGCCAGCTCTGGTGAATTTGTTCAGAAAAGAAGAAACTGGGTCATTCTCTTTACTGCAACAGTTTGGCCAGCAGACGGATGATGAAGAGATGGACAGTGAAGATGATAACTACATAGAAGGTATCGAGGAGTTTTATTTTGCTCTATTGTTTTGTTATTGGGAAGGGGTTAGCCTGCAGGCTTCTTTATGATTACATTTCTAATGAATAATAATACTAAGTATGGAATGTGTAAAATAAAATATAGGTGAAAAAACATATTGTTAAAATACTATTATCTTTGAAGGGGCTGCTTCATAACGCCAGGGTGCAGGGTTTGATCCCAACTGCGCGCCTTGCTTTGGTTTAGACAGTGATATTGAGAGCCAGCCATCCAGAAAGCAATGGCAAACTACTGGACATAACATTTTCTTAGAAAAACCACAACAGCCAAAGAATGCTGAGATTGGTTTTGCAACGTCCTGTAAAGGAGACACAACTTTTTTTAAGGGGGCATGGAGTCTGTATTCAGATAATATTCAACAAGTTTATGATGGCATGAATATGGGTTATTGATTTTGTGTGTGTTTAATTTGTTCTGGAAGCTGGTTCCACAGATGAGCTGCAGAGTACACACTGCTTTTTTAATCCTAGGTTTTGGGATGTGTAATATGATAAGGCGTTTGCTATGTTCTATCAGAAGCTAAGACACCATCGGCATAGCTCTTAGTATCCCACAAACCCCTCTACCGCACCAAGATGGAGACACAGAGACGAATTTTAATGACAATATAGTCTCATTAGGTTGTGATTAAAAGAGGCAGCTTTCTTCTAAAGGATCACTATTGTAGGGCATATTTTCTCTCAAAGGCTGGCAAAATTGGGGAAGTGTGATAAGATTTGCACTAAAGTTTGCTTCGCTTAGCTTACACAATGAAGTTGCAGGTAAAAATCACAGTTTTCATTATTAGCTATATGGAGTTTGTGTCTTGTTTCTTGCAGGTGGTGATAAGTGTTCAGGTCCACTGTCCGGGCTGTTTAAAGAACAGTCACGTAAAGCAGATTTGGAGCAGCATAAGAAAACACCTGCAAAATCTGAACCCCTGAGTTATGAAGGTGAAACCTTTTATTGTGTCTTAGTATAATTTGTCATTGCTTTGGTTATCTGAAAATCTATTGTGTTTGTTAAATAGGAAACGCACTCTCCATTTGATGAGCAGCACGATTTCTGATGAAGTTTTGTTATGAAATTAAATACACACGCATTAACTAAACAGTCTTTTCTGAGAGAGTGGTAAGTTGAGCTACACTTCATTTTTAAAAAAAAGTTACTTGTGTATCCTGTTATTTTAAAAAAAAAATGAGTAGCTTTTCTTTTACAGGATGTTGACTTAACAAACATCAGCAGTTTTTGCCTGTTTGGTTTGCTGTTGTATTTTGAATGGTCAGCTCTTCATACCATTGCCAAAATCAACACAAAGCAGTCTGTTGGAAGAGTGCCTGCATCTGGAATCAGACTGTCTTTTAGAATTATGAAGCACGGTGGCAATGCCTATGCCACAGACATTGACATTTGATTATGGCATTGTTTCTTTCCTTTGTAAATGTTGAACAAGGCATGCTGGAGTAAATATCTAGTCACATGAAAGCTCATCATGCAACCATTTTGAGATACCTTATTGCTGGGAATATGTAGTTTTCGCCTTTGTGAAACCTTGACCCCAAGTTGTGCATGGAACATTTTATAGCCACTGAAGAAGAAAATCAAGGGTTTGAATTAAAATGCTACAGAAACATTCTTAGAATATCGCAGATAAAAACAGAAGAAAACCATTGACACTCTGCGAGCGATGAAAGTCGTGCATGGAACATTTTATAACCACTGAAGAAGAAAATCAAGGGTTTGAATTAAAATGCTACAGAAACATTCTTAGAATATCGCAGATAAAAACAGAAGAAAACCATTGACACTCTGCGAGCGATGGAAGTCGTGCATGGAACATTTTATAACCACTGAAGACGAAAATCATGGGTTTGAATTAAAATGCTACAGAAACATTCTTAGAATATCGCAGATAAAAACAGAAGAAAACCATTGACACTCTGCGAGCGATGGAAGTCGTGCATGGAACATTTTATAACCACTGAAGACAAATCAAGGGTTTGAATTAAAATGCTACAGAAACATTCTTAGAATATCGCAGATAAAAACAGAAGAAAACCATTGACACTCTCTGCGAGCGATGGAAGTCGTACATGGAACATTTTATAACCACTGAAGACGAAAATCAAGGGTTTGAATTAAAATGCTACAGAAACATTCTTAGAATATCGCAGATAAAAACAGAAGAAAACCATTGACACTCTGCGAGCGATGGCCAAAGAACTGGTGTATATGCATCATCATGTCTTGGAAACTGAAATACTTCAGACATATTACATTTCAAAGTGGTTCAGAAAGGAATGTATTGGAAGACATAGACAGGGATGCTTACAGCCCATGTTTGAGAGCTGTTCAGCATTGCTGCATGTTGTCTGAAGTTCTGTATAACAGTTTTATTGTGGATACACACATCTCTTGTCTATCGCACACAGGTGTATCACTGTTTAAACCGCAGGCAAAGAAAGTTCATACTGACAGTGACAAGGTGGGACCAACAAAATCAGGACCTGTGCATTCCGAAGGTTAATATTGTTGTGTTGGCTTCTTCTTTGATATTTTCTTTAGTTTTAACCATAATTATGGTGTGCTGCTTTACAGCAGTGCTTTGGTATTTGGTCTCTGATTTCTTTGAGAATTTTTTTGACAGCGTTAGCCTTCCTTTTGTTGGATTTTATTAAGTGTTGTGTCAGTAAGATCGTTTTGCTAGCATCATCATCCTGTAGTGCCAGTATATATGACATAGGGCTTACAGTTTCTTCTTCCATTCAGTCCTGTGCTGGATTGACATCTACAGTATCATAGATTACTACAAATTACTACATTTGGCCTCTCAGTGGCCCTTTGAGCCATTGTGTAGACATTCCAAAAACCAGTCTTGGTATTTAATTTTTTTTTTCTGTTTGAAGTTCGTCTGTTTTATATAATTGTAACTTGTCTCTAAAATACAGACTTGTCTTGTCTCCGTCAGTCCGATCTTGTCTGTTAAGCAACTTGTGTTTTTGTCTTGTCCCAGGTGTCTTGTTCTAAAGATATTGCAGCATAACTGTTATCAGTCTATCTACATTGAGGGGTTCCTTTAGCCATGAAACCAGTTTTTGAACAATTGTAGCCAGTGAGCTGGTCAGTGTAGAGTATTGCACTGTTTCCTTTTTCTTTGGGCTCACTAGCTAAAAACTGGTTGTTCATCCACTTCTGAACTTTGGTCTTGTTCCAAAACTTGAGTTTTGCATGTGCATTCACAGATCTGGTTTATTCATTTACTGACTGTTTGTTCCTCACTTTTCAGGCAGATGCGCTCCATCTTCAAAGGAAACACCTCGTTAGTCACTTTTTACATGTTCTTGAGAGGTGGTGGGGGGAGGGGGGGGCAGTAGGCCCCACACTTGGACCCCTGGACTCAAATGGGAAGTTGCAGGCAGTACTTGAATATGCTGCATGTACAGTTTCAGTTGTTTTGTCGAGGTCATGTTGCTGGTTCAAGCTGCTAGTTCATGATACTAGTTCAAGCTGCTAGTTTGATAGTTGATTCCTGTGTAAGTTTTCTGGCTAACTTTTGTTCATCTAATCAGAATAGCTTGTCTGTAGAGTACCATCAAATAGCAGGGCAGAAGAGAAAAGGCTGATATGTTTTATATAGATTTTACCTTGTAGATTGATTGAAGATGAATGAGTGAAAAGGACTGATAGAGGATGTATGAGTGAAAAAGACTGATTATGACGTATGAACTTTAACTCAAAGAAGACTAACAAATGGTTTATGTACATTTGTGGCACAAAGATTGAGGAATGGTTTATTAATTTAAATAAAAAAAGAGAGACTGTTGAGTGGTTTATGTGCCCTTTCAAAACAAAGAGGACAGGATAATGAGTTTGTAATATACACTTTTAAAAAAAAATCTTAAAAAAAGAAGACTATAGAATAGTTTATGCACATATTTAATGTTGATTTTGTGTATCTTACTTCTTGCTATAGTTTAAATCTTTTTCCTTCATTTTATTTTATGTGTAGATGAAATTGACAGTTCTTCAAGTGATGCTGAAGGCATGACTTCAGATGATGGGCATCTAGAGAAAGATGACAGGTGAGCAGTTAAGTGTTGTTAAAATGTCAAAGCATTATAATTGTTCATTATCAACTCCACTGATGATGAATAGGTAATTGAAACTGATATGTTATAACTTACTAAAAGATTAAATTACCTGAGAATGAAGAATTAGAAGCAACAATGAAATTCGTATTCTGTTTAAACTGAATGGGACTTGACCATGGGGCAGACTAAGCAAGCAGTGGAGTGATCAGACACTTGGAGTAATCAACTGGAAAGAGAAGGTCAATCACAGAGATGAATGGAGGTGGGTGGAATCTGCAACAATGAACCTCCAGGGCTTGGAATGCTGATAAACTACTTTAAGGATCCTGAAATGGTTACTGATGCATGAATGATGTGATAAAAATGGTGTACTGAGGATACCAACTTACAGGTGTACTGGTTTTTCTTATAAGTAGATTACCCAAACTTGTCTGGACATGTTGTGAGAAGGGGTCAACTGGAAAATGTGCATTAGTGGGCTCCTGGTGAAGACCCATGCATTGCAGACACAGTACAATTTTTCAATGAATCAGGTTAATTAAGCAGTTTGACTTTAATGACTTTGTTATCTTTACCAGATATCTTCAGGTTTTAGGTCATTTATTAGGTTGAAGACAACTTATTGTAAACATCAGAAAGACACAGTGGTTGTTTTTGTTCATGTTATGAAGGAAACCAAAATATGTTCTGACCACTGGAAAGATCTGTGGAAAAAGACAGAGGTAGACTGTCAGGGTGGAGAGGCGGGTAGCAAGGTCAGAGCATGTGTGTATAAAGTCATTCAACTTTCACTGACAGACATGCTTAATTTTCCTTTTCTTATTCACCTCCGACTCCCTGAGCTTAATAATTACTAAAAAGCTATGAGCGCTGTGATTTAGTTTATTGCTGACACACTCAAAACACGTTAGCACTGCAAAAACGGTCAGACGACGAGAACAAACTGTCAGAATGTGGTCACAATACACACGAGGAAGTCTGATGTACATACAACATGTTCAGCTCTGTTACTATTTATTATCCTGCCATTGCTACATCATTCTAAAGAACTTAACATAATAGCTAACTCTAACACACAATAACTGAAACCACTACTCCTGTCTCATGGCCATACTGGAGTTGTGGGGACCTTCCGCTTGGATGTCCGGTCAATTACTGCCCTCAGCCACTTCACTTCCCTTCAGGTAGTTCACAAGACTTGCGTGCACACCATAACAGTCACATGTTTGATGCTCTGTTGGTAGTCCCACATTTACCCGATCTCCACCTCTGATCATGATGAGGAAGGATTCAAACAGAGGAGTCTTGGCAAGATGTGATATATAGTGTCTTTTTCTCTCATCTACAGGTTGCAACTGACAACAGACAATGACATAGTTGATGAGGATTTGATAAGTAAGTTCCATTGTATCTTTTAGTGAAGTAATATTCTTAGAAAATCTTGACCAAGAAGACACGAGATATTCACATTATGAAAGTGAACAGTCAAGGAAAATTGACCTGTAAACAGCATTTCATTTCAGAAACTTCACTATTTTGACTGTGATCTGACAAGAACAGTGATGGAGGACATGATGCCGAGCAAGATAGGCAGGGACCAATCAGCATGGAGATGGGTGCGGGACATAGCGACATCTTGGTCAGGAAAATGCATATCGCAGAAGACCTGCCAAGGGACTGAGTTTCTTTGACATGCGCTGTGACTGACCTGCTACATGATGATAGTGAACCATTATTGGTTGGTTGTCATTTAATGTCGCAGCCAATAAATGTTATTTGCTAGGCAGATATTTGATTGCGGGACCTGGATCCCCTAGCTTTTCAGTATTAGCCATGGCATTATCAAACTAAGGGGTTAATGGCCACGGACAGAAAAAGCGCAAGGGGCTTCATGAAAAAAGCATGGTTCAGAAGGATGAAGGAAGAGAGCTTGACATAATGACATGACCACATCCAGCATGAGAATGGAGGTTGAGGCGGTAACTGCTGCATTCTGATGGGTGGAAACAATCTCAAACACACATGTTGTCAGTATCAGATTAGCAAAGCAGGACTACAAACGTGGAGTCAGGTTTTCATCATTTGGTATGGGTTACATCAATCCAGATGTCACAGGTGGTGAGTCACATGGATTTTTTGCCCAGGCTGTTCAGGTGGGAATGAGCAGGCAGATAGGTTGGCTGTCCTGGTGCCCACTTGTACAGTTGTACTGCAACTGTACAAGGCAGAGGTGATCTCTAATCTGTGGGACAAGGTAACAGGTGAAGTGGAAGATACTGATAACCCTTACCTGGAGAGAATGATGCAGCGAGGAGTGGTTGTGGGCTCTGGGCACCACTCGAGACTCAGAGGGAAGGCAAGACAAGTAGTTAACCAGATGACAACAGGCACCATCAGTAAGGAAACTATTCGCTGGCTGTTGAGAAGAGAGACAGAGCTAATATGGGCTTGTCCTGAATTCTGTGATGTTTAATCTTTACCCGGATGTTATGAAACATGCACACTACTCCCAACATTGTATTTGTACTGAGAACACTGCTTTTACAAGAAAATGTCTTCGCTTTTTCTTTTTTTTCTCTACTTTTGGAATGCCTCGTGGCATCAGAGGAGGAAGAGAGCTCTAGAATGGGCCCTTCCGTTCGCTTCGTATATTGTACTTTTGAGTGTCTCTATTTCTGCGGTCCATGTTATGCATGGTCGACCTCTGGGTCTGTTACCACTGTATCTGTATAAGATTGCTGTCTGCTGCCAGTCTTGTTACATGGCCAAACCATTTGATTTGTTGTCTACCTATAAAGTTTAGTATTATTTTTGTGCCGATTCTCCTCCTGGTATCACCATTCCTAAGTTGATCTTACCTTGTTACACCTAGCACAGTACGTAAACATTTCATTTCTGTCATAACTATTTGCCTTCTGAAGACAGTGTCCTTAACATTGATAGCTTTGCTGCCTACTCATATATCTTAGGACGGTGTAAGACAGATGAGGTCTTGAGCTTCAGGATTTAAGGTCACATGGCTACCTTATCCCACAGATTAGAGATCACCTCTGCCTTGTGCAGTTTCAGTACACCTTTAAGTGGGGACCAGGACAGCCAGCCTATCTGCCTGCTCGTTGTGCAAGTTCATGATTTGTTATTTTGCCTTAACGATAGCAAGGATTCAAAAGCCAGGAATCCTAAATAAGAGCCTGCAATGTTGCTTTCTTCATATTATAGTTCAGCATCCAGAAGTTAGGGTTGTCTTCTCATTCAGGTTGTAAAAACACACATATATTGATGGGACACCAATTGGTAGTTTATTGTAGTTCAAACAATAATATTGTCTAGCCTGTATCTGCTGTTCTCGCTTGTCGCTACTAGGATCGATTGTCAGTTATTAGATTACACGCATACAGTGTTCAGACTGTTATTAACTTGCATTCCAGGTGTTCCAGACATGTGAAAGACTTACATCTCCAACACAGCTCTACAATTCTTCACGGTCGTTCAGGGTAGTAATCAAGATAGCTTCTGCTCAATTATTCATCCTCAGGAATCATGACTTCTTCATCCAGTCATCAATTATACTTTATAGCAGTCATTTCTGTCGCAGAACTGGACCAATCACCTTGGCCGTCAAACACCGACTGACTATTTCCTCTCTCACCATCAAACCCTTCGCTGTTTCCACGAGTTGCCACTTTTCAGCAGTTCACTCAAACACAGGAATTTTTGAGTTCCCTTCTGGGGTTCTACTCACTTGACCGACTTTTGATCCTGCCACATCATATAGGGAACCCTTTGGGAAATTCCGTTATTACATAATCCAGTATTGTAACTCCCCCTTGTTTATAAACTGTACATTTATAGAAAGCTAGCACTGTATTATTGAAGAAACAATTAGTTCCATCAGAATTGCACCCAACGCTGGCTGCTGAAGATAGGGGAAAGGCATATCTGCAAATAAACTAAGTGCTGTAATTGGCTCAGCTCACATTGACAATAAAGTAGTTTGAATGCTGGTGAGAAAGAAACTCCCGTAGCATTGATTTTTGATCAAAGTTGTTGGTTGTAGAGCTGTCAAAGGATATAACAAAAGGCAGATGGACCAGTTCTGTCAGTTATTACTAAAGTGAGCACATGTGGCTCAAAATTGACAACTCTACCAGCCTTTTTTTTTTTTAAATCAAGAGTTCAGCACAATTCGTCATCCATAAGGGGCAAATTCGTATTTGATATTGAATAGCTTTATGGCTTCAAGTTGTGCCCTGATGTAACAAAAAGCTGCCAATAAAAAAATCATGTAAAAACTGAAAGCTATCCTAAACAGGCGCCTGAAAAAAAAGGCATTTTCCAGAATATTTAGATAACTATTAACATCAGAATGTGCATTAGTTTAGGAGGAACAATTTCTGTTGAATTAATATCATCTCTTTTAACAGATGCTGGACGGGTAGACATTCGGTTTACCAAGGAACAGTGGTTGGAGAGATGGACAGAAATCCGGCCAGTCCTGGTGACGGTAAGTAACCCCCATTTAATTTTGGGAGTATGACAAAAAGGATGTGGCGACAGCTTGGTGGCTAGCACTATTGGGTGCTAATGCTGGTCTAGCGGTTAGCTATAGGTTGCTAAATTTTTTTGCCACAGGCTTGCAGATCAAGTTTTCAAATGGTTACCAAGAAGTTATATGGAAATAAAGTCAGCTGCTGAGATGCTGACCAAAAAATTTTTCTGTCCTGTCTCTTAGTCCATTACTGGTATGCGGCCGTTTTCAGTAAGTAGGTACCCATGTCTCTTCTCGTTTTTTTTAGTAAAGTTTTAATCTACTGCTGGGCCTGTCTCAGTTTAAAAGAGCATTTAACCTGATGAATCCTATCCTAGCGAATTAGTGGTATAAGGCTAGTACTCAGACACCCCAAAGGTGTTAGTTCACAGTCATTTCTTCCCTAGCATTTAGAGCCCTTGAGATACAGTGCTACAGACATCACCTGCCTAAATCTGTCATTGCAGTTGACTTTCTCTTTCCAGTTGTTACTCTTTATAAGTGTTTCTGATTTGTCTGTATTTTAATCTTTCCATCATCTTCTTGATCCCCCAATAAACTCCTCTTTCGCAGTTAGGCCATTTACTTTTTTCAATGATCAAATATCAGTCAATTTTTTTTTTACAGATGCTGAATAATTTTATCTCTGAGTTGTTTTTGTTGATGTAATGAAGTGTATTAGTATTTTTACAACACTGTCTCTTCACATTTTCTTTAATTGTTTCAAATGATCCAGAAATAATCATGCAAGTCAATGGGTGACGACGAGGAAAGAGAGGGGTTTGTAAGCGTTGACAATGTGGGACGGGAAGTCTTTCTGTTTTTGGGCCTGACTTCAATTTGAAATTGTTCCAATTTGGCTTTGTTGCTTTACGAAGTGAATTACGTTTTTTCACTTTCACCAGCAGTAGACTCTGGCAGAGTCTTGGTTGTTTATCCACTACTGGAATTGTGTCTTGTTCCACCAAGCCTTGGAGTGTTGTGTGTTCACACCTGTTTTAGATCTGTCTTGTGTGCAGACTGTCGGTAACTCACCTCTCATGCAGATGAACTCCAACTTTGAAAGAAATGTCAATCCTGTCTATGTTGCCCAGAACCTGTTTCTAGGATGACTGTGGAGAGGTTGTCAATATATCTTGACCATTTTGAGTATGGGGGGGGGGGGGGCTGAGTGTTCTTAAGGTGTGGCATCCACCTCGAGTGCTAGAGGTCCTGGGGTTCATACCTCGGTGAAGGCTGGGGTTTTTTGGCGTGGACTTCTAGTAATATGGTCTCTGGGTAGTAAAACCGGACGCCCGAGTGTATTGTTGTGCACGTAAGAAATCCCCTGGCAGCTAGAAATCTAAAAAGAGTAGCCTAATGGCACTTGCAGGTCAAATTTGGAGTTAAAAATCTAGCTAAAGTATTTCAGGATCGTTGCTGGTAAAACGGAGTTCGTGCACTGTGCTGAGCATCATCAGACTCTGGTTTGAGTTAGAAGTTGACTGGAGCACTTAAGGTACCCGGTGACCCGTGCGCTGTGATGTAGATCCATTGAATAAACCATACACCTAAGCGTGGGTTCTTGTGCATCACCCCGCGATTCAGCATCTCTTCATCCCAAGTCAGATGAACAAATGTGTCAGTATCTCTACAGAAATTACATTATGGAATGTTTTGCTCATGCCATTTGTTTTCTTTTATTCCCAGTTGTACAAGAGGAAACACAAGGAAGCCATGAAAAACAAAAGAAGACATGATGAATTTACAAGGAAGAAAGAATTTTTAAAGAGATCAAGGAAGAATCGGTTCAGAAAGTAATATCTACAATAAATAATTGTGTAAATAGAAATGCGTTTTTTTTTTTAATATATAAATTATGTTGTTTGAATACACCACCGGTCTTTATGTGTATTTGAAAATACCCTCTGCTGCATCGAGTTGAGATGCTCTGGCCTTAGGTCAGAAGGTCATGGGTTCAAATCTGCACTAAGTCAAATTTCTTTCAAAAATGACATCATCAGCTTTCAGGTTGATTAGCCTAAAGTGGGTGGTAGGTAAAGTCTTAAAGTTACATTCACCCACTGACTGCCAGTCAGATGATAAGTCTAGCCCCATTCCCATACACCCAGCACGGAAAAAGTAATTTACTTTTTTAGTTAAGCAATGACAGCAGGATACTGACCATCTTGTGCCGATTGGTTTATAAAAATATTTAGGTCTAGCCCTATATGCCTAAAGGCGTAGAAAAGGGACATTTACTTACTGACATCACAGCAACATAAGTGCTCTGTTCTGATCTTTAGCAGCTAGCAGTCTGATTATACTGTCCATCTTGCGTTTCCACTGCATGTTGAATGCCAGCAAGACTACCTGCTGCACAAACCTCACTGCTACTTTCTTATATCATGTGCCCTGCCAACTGGCGTAGGTGCTCACTCGTCTCCGCAGATCACGATCCCTGGTTGCCTTGATATCCCTCCATGCATTCATTTCAGCAACATTTTAGCACCCTCTTTCAGACATTAAATGAGAAATTTATTGCATATTTTTCATTTTCTGAAATGCAGCTTTTGCTTGACCTATTCTGCTTTTAATCTCAGTAACACATTTTCCATCTGAATGTTACCAGATATTTGAATTTATTGAATTGGTTAAGTCTGTACTGCCATACATTCTTCCTGATAGACACTAAAAACGACAATGAACTGATGAGACAATTCATACAAAGACTGGGCCAGTATTATAAATTCAGTACTTTAATGTTTAACTGTCACATAATTAATAAGCACACCTCACCAATGACAAATATCTACTGCACATATGTGCACATAAAGTGCAGACACCTGACCAATGTAGAGAATAGATGCAAGGTAAACTCCACTTATGTGCTTAACTTTTTTGTCTATATGCCTTATTACACATATAAGTATCTGAGGACAAACTATTAACATAAACCAGTGTCTTACACAGAAAAATTCCATACTAGTCCTACACTAAAATTTGGTTAGCCAGTCACAAAACTCGCTGGTGATCTGGCCAACCATCAGAAAATAATAATCAGGTAGGTTATAGAGCTGCAGCTCCAGAAATAATTTCGATAAGCTCTCTTGTGATGACGGCTTGACGAGTTCTGTTGAATGTCAAGGTCAGCTTGTCGATCATCTCACCTGGTGGCAGACAAATTATTATCAGTGAGTCAACAAACCACAAACTTCTAACTTACGAATACTTCTGCTTCAGTTTTTGAGATTTACTGCACATCATACACCTTCATCCCTTTCTGTGACTGGCCTTCTCTTTCCAGCTGGTGATTCTGTGTGTTTTATAGGCCTGCTTGTATATTATTTCTCCACTTGCCTTCTTGGTCAGTCTTGTGGTCTACTCCCATTCAACTCTTCTGCTCTCTGTGGTCTGGCATTTATGAATACCGTTATTACATTGCAAACTATTTTTAATGAACCATAGTGGTTAGTGTGTTTGCCTGTCGAGACAGTAGTCTAAGTTCTGATCCTAGAAATAGCAAGATGTGTTTCGTTGATTAGTTTCAAGAACAGGCATCATGGCATTCAAGACATTCATATAAGCGCTCTGTCCCCATCTTCAGCAGCCAGCAAAGAGTTCCAAGTCTGATGATACCAATAAGTCTAAGCTTGTCTTGCCTTTCTTCTTAGTTAGAGTGTCTGCCAGATCTCATAGCCACTCCCTGTTGAACCATGCCTTTCTTCTTCTTCTCTTCCACCTTGTACCTCATCGAAGTGTCGGGGGGGGGGGGGGGGGTGAAATGTTTGTTGATGAGCTCTGTCAAGAGCACTATTAAGACATGTTCATTTCTGTAAGGCTGTTTGTTCTTAATGCCATCACTCCATTCGCTCTATACCCATTGTAACGTTTTAGTGTGGCTCGCTGTGGCAGATAGTACCAGGGCATTCTTGTTAGGTGTCCAAACCACTTCATTTGTTCTTTGATGACCTGTAAGACACCACGCTTTTCAAACCATGATAATCTAAATGTGCCTCTACACTGTTCACTCCCTACCAAAGAGCCTTGACATTTAGCTTTTCATGCACAAATTTAGTGCCAAGTGGCGCAGAGCTATCAAGTCTGCCCGCCTGTTCATTTCCTAACACAACCTGTATGTCCTGGGAAAAATATCTAAAAGGGCTAACTACCGTGGATTTATGAAGCAATGCATGCCACTCTGCAATGAAGCACAGCAGTTTCCACTTTTCTCAACATGCTCAACTAATCTGCATCAAATAACTGAACAAAATAATGAGTCAAACAGTGCATCACTATGTCAGCAAACCACAAAAGATACCAACTGATCAACTTTACAGTTTCAATGCAAGGCAGTTTAATCTGGGATAATCATACAACAGAAAGTTTCTTTGTTAACACGGGAGTTAGGCAGGGATGCATATCATCACCATTTATGTTCAATCTGAGTTACAAAAGATAGAAACAGAGGTATCGAATGGTCACTAAACTCAGTTTTGGAGGACTGCGTCTGTGCAAATGACATCAGTCTTATATTAAGCAATAGGGTGGATGCTTAGGAAAAGATGAAACACGTCTGACAATGGCCCTTAAGATATGGGTCGAAGGAACTAAAAACAGACTTTTCAAAATAAATTAAGGGCAATCCTGCAAATATTTTGGCCAAACAAGATCACAAATAAAGAACTGAGGAGAAAAAGAAAATGTTCAACACTGGAAAATGTTATTAAAGAAAAAAGATGAGATGGCTTGGGCATGTTTGCAGAATGCCTTTTGATACTATGGCAATAACAGTTTTCCAATAGATAAAGAAAAAAAAAATGTGAACAACCCGAAGATGTACAGGAGAAAGGGAAAGGAAGGAATGTTAAATGACTTAGGATACCATAGGCAGAAAAGAAGCAGACTGGTGGCAATGGAGATCAGTTGTGAAAAGCTCATGTGACAACAGCCACATGAAGAGTATATACAAGTGACCGGGGTGGATGTCGGGAGAAGATTGTCAAGGCATTGCTAGGTAGCATCATGTCAAGTCTCATAGCTGGCTTGGTGCTGTCTTTACCATTAAGGTGTGGCATAAGTTTCTTCTACTTTGCATTCATCTGCTGTAAACTCAGGCAGATTGTTCTGGTCAAAAAGTTATGCTTGTAATGGCCATGGAGATATGTTTATTTTGTTTCCTATTTATGAAAACTTATGGGGTACTATGTAAATAGAAATAGGGCTGACTTGAGACTGGCTATATAATGTTAGAGAACTTGTTGCCTGCAAAAATCCAGTCATTCAAGTCTACAAATGGCACAGCATCAGTTGGCTGAGGACCAATGCACCAGTGGCGAATGAAAGGCACAAGAAGAATATAACAATGTGACCTACCAGCATTTTTACTGGCAGCGTCCATAGCAGTCATCCTTGAGCTCTGTTCGCTGCAGGCCCCTTCCTTCATTGCGAACATTATGAGGCTAGCCAGGGAGAACTCATTGTAGCTCTTCAGAACCTCGTCATCGATACTGTCATAGAGGTTAAACTTGTTGGCTCCCTCGACGGCTGAAGGCAGGAACAGTGGTAACTCGGTCTGTGTGTAGGAAATCACACTCCTAGAGGATGATGAAAGCAAATATTCATCATAAAATAAATAATTATGTTCGCCTGATAAAGCTAATCTAATCAGTGATGTGTGAATGAATTGAAATGGTACAAGGTAAACATGTTTCTATTTTTCTGTATTTGGACTACTTTCTGTAAGATTATTTTATCCCCCCCCCCCCCCCCCGTAAAGATGGGTTCAAACCCCCCCCCCCCCCCCCCCCCCCGTAAAGATGGGTTCAAAGCATGACAAGAAAACAGACAATATCTTCACTAAATATCTAATACGGTGAAACCTTTTTAACACAAACTCGCTTCAAAAGAGCAACTCAGTTAACATGAACAAAATTGTGGCGCCAGTAGAGATATGTTAATCTGAGTCCCTGGTTACCACAAACTTTGTTAACACACCCTCTTGATTTTTCAGTCCTTTGGAATTCACTTTAATTAGGTCTTACTGTAATCATATGTGACACAATGTGTAAAAAAAAGGCTGATTTTGTCATAACAATAGTAATACTTTAGTGTTCTGCCTTAAAAGGGAGGCTGGAGCATTATGTTGTGTTTACAAAAAGGCAAGAGTATGTGTCTAATTTTATACCAAAACGCCGCTGGAACTATGTCGGCCACGCCCTTAGAATGGATAAATCAAGACTTCCTTACCAAGCCCTCATTTGGACACCACAGGAATAAAGATCTCGTGGAAGACCAAATGAAACCCTAGAACTATCATCAGGGAAGGCTCACTCATGGGCCACTCAAACATCCAAGACCTACAATAGATTGCAACGAACCGCCATGCATGGAGAGTCATGACCTCTGCCCTATAGGCTGTGATATTTGCACCTTCAGAACAACATATCTAAAATAAACCAACTCTCGCCCTTTTTTACGACATCCTTATTTGAGGGCAGGGGGTCTATTCTGTTTTTCCTCCACAACAATAATACACATCAACAATGAGACTCAGGAATCTGAACACCAGCACATAAATCAGGGAACCAACAGAATGCATCTACCTGCAATATACTAACTGGTTCTGTGAAGACAGGAAACATACAATTGCATGCATGAGATAAGCTGCAAGATCCAATAGAAAATACTGTTAAAAATGATTTAAAAAAATACTACTGGTACCATGTGAAAATGTAACACAAACTTAAACCATTTTGTACCTATTTAAAAACTTTTTTTTCTCTTACTTAAAAGAGATAGAGGAACATTAAGAAACAGATGGACTTTTCCTTTTGTGCCATTTCTATACGACAGCTTTTGTGCCATTTCTATAAGACAGGTTGACTCTATTGAGTCCACTGTTGTTTTTGAGAATATCATCCGATTAGGTCCCCTTCTTCCACTGAACTAATCTCGCATAACTGACCAGAAGCCATGACAACAGTCTCTCTCTAAAATACTTCTATGCAAATCAAACCATGGAACATTGAGGATTATGAAATATGTTCACTACACTTCAAGCCAAAGGTGTACTCTACAGATGTACAGAACAAACTCACCTGAAAGTGTTGAAAACAAGAGTAGCCCTGTCAAACTTGAAGTCAGAGTCCAGGATCACGTTGGCCACTAAGGCAGCATCAGCGAAGTTGGGTGGTCTCTTGCCATAGTCATTGAAGGTGTACAGGATGTTCTGTGCATGAGTCCTGAGAAAGTAAGCATGAAAGTATATCGTCCCAAGAGTGAAAATGTATCTAGAATTTGGTCATCTCATTCATATCTGAAAAAAAGCAAAAGAAATTTACAAAATGCATACACGTTAGGTCAAGATGTTTAAGTGACGCAAGATCATGCTATCCAAACAGCACCTGGTCTTTTTTCTCACTGTAGAAAACTGGCTATTATAAAGGCAGTTGTGTGAACAAGCAATCTACTGTGCCGAAGGTAGGCTGTACTGGATCATGACTTGGTATAGGCACCAGAAGCTGGTGGGTGGGGTTTGGGCTCCATTAGCCCACCCCCCTCCCCCTTCTATTTTATTTGTAAGGGGGCTAAGAGGCCATGTATGTTTTTCAAATCCCGTGAAATTGGGCACATAAAAAATGGATGGTCACAACCTCAGGAATTCCTGGAGAAAAAATCGTTAAAATTTTTACACATGGCACTAACAAATATTTTTATATTCATTTATCCACTTTTATTAAAATGTTTGAAATACAGAAAAGATGTAAAAATAACAGACATGAAGCGCAGCATTAAGTAGAATACATGCCGAGGGCCTAAGAGAAACATGTATTGACTTGTGTCATGATGCATAACCTCAAACAGAGGCTTATGGGCAATAAACCCTCACCTCCCTTTTTTAACTTCTTTGATGTTTGCAGAGGTGCGAACATTGCCAACAGCAATAACTATAGGTCTTGTAAGCGTTTCAATGTAGTAAAGTCAATTAGATTTTTCTCAGGGAATTTGACCTAGCTGGAGGAGGTGGTTTTGTAGCTTCTCAGGGTAAGAGGGTTAAGAATTGTACAAATTTCATATTTTTTCAAATACATTATATTTACTAACCATTCAGCATATTGGCAGTGCAGTTGTCCCTATGTTAGACAAGCCACACCTCACTGAGATGGAATCTGTTATTTTCCACTGGCTTTGCCTAAGCTGATAACAAACAGCACTTCACATACACCTATAACGATCTGTTTAAACAAGGCTAAAGACCCTTAAACCCCCAGAAAATGGTAAGGGGCCGAGCCTTTCCTCATTTTCTGCAGCACTTTGACTGCTAACATTCTGAAATGCTTCTCGACATGGAGAAGTTCAGTACTTATCTTGCACCCCAATGCCTTCTGTGTTGGTGAAAGGAAGGAGAGCTCTGAGGCACAGGCATTCTGGTACTGAGCCATAGGAAAAGTCTGTGAAACGCATTTCAAAACAAGCATGCCCTAGAGATGTGAATATTAATGCACCCGGTCTTAAATCTGAGCCAAAACTGTCTTCTCATGAACAACAGGTATGAAATACTAACAACAACAGGTATGAAATACTAACAACAACAGGTATGAAATACTAACAACAACAGGTATGAAATACTAACAACAACAGGTATGAAATACTAACAACAACAGGTATGAAATACTAACAACAACAGGTATGAAATGCTAACACTTCTATCTCAGTACAGGGCATGTACTCAAGGATTAATTCTTTTTCTTCATGTCCACCAGCTGTTAACTCCAGCAGAAAGCTCTGATAGTTATCCACTTCTAGACTTTAATCTTGCTCCAGGACTTGAAATGAGCATCCATGGCTGTCTTTAGGAATACTACTCTTCCATGGCACACATCTGGCTCCACTGTCCAAAAACTACAATTGTATCCATACTATCACTGTACCCTTACCTCTGCAAGATCCCCCTGGCTTTGTCTCCGACGATAACCAGCCTGGTGTTTACAGCAGGGCCTTCTGTCCCAATCTTGGCCTTGATGTGCTTGACCACTGAAGAGTGGATGCCACCGCACAAGCCTCTATCTGAGGACATGGCCACTACGAGATGATTCGGCTTGGCAGTGTCCTGGCTGACCTCTGCCTTTTCATAGAAAGCTGTTGAGAAGCACCATAAACCAGATCTTAATGCGATGTACATACGATCTAGAAAAGCTTTTCAGTAACATCATTTTTATTAATAAAACATGAGTGCATATATTTTTCAGGGCGCTTCTTATACAAAGTTAAGTAAAAGTAAAGTAAAGGTCCCTTTACACGCCAGTGGCGCATCGGGCACATGAGCTAGTTTATGAACCAACCAGCCCTCGATGGGTGATGTGGGTTAACATTTTGCCAGCCACCTCTACTTCCCAGGAGTTTACCTGCTACCCATTTAAGGCTGGGCCAAGATCATGTATGGAAAAATATCTGGCTCCATGAAGAATTCAACTCATGAGCTTCAGATCTGCAGGTGAGCGACTAGCCACGACTGACTGACTTTCTACCCCACCAGGACATCACACAAGCGATAAACACCTGATGACACAAAGTGCCACCATGTGGATGAGGATCGCCGTGGAGAGGTCCCAGAAACCGCGTTTAGACAATTAGCCATATTTATGGCCTGCCTATATTGCGGCCCCTGGCAAAAGCCAGAGTGGGGCTTCAACAACAAAAAATTTCGTCCTAAAAAGGGCGAAACTGGGTGTATACACTAGCCACTACACCGCAACGACTCCTTTATACGAATGTAATGAACATATTTCTACCATTAGTAATGGAAGAAATACTTATGTTCTTTTATGAAAAATGTTAGTAGAAAAATCCTCTACATCTTAATACTACTACACATGGGCATGCATCTGTCATATCTAGATTCCAATATGTACGTCCTGTTATTAAGTCAATAAGGTGATATTTATGCACAATTAAGGAAGCCACTAGATCAGTGGCTCTCTTCTTCTTCTTCACTTCCTCTTTTACCGCTGTGAGTGTCGAGGGAGATATAAGGTTCTGTTTCTAGCTCTTCTGGCCGCCTCAGTGGTTCTCAACCTTCCTAAAGCTGTGCCCCTTTAATACAGCTCCCTCATGTTGTGGCGACCCCCAGACAATTAGTTTCCTTCACAAGTTCAATGAATATCTGTTTTCCAATGGTCTTAGGCGACCCCTGTGAAAGGATCATTCGAATACCACACACACACACAAAAAGCGACATGACCGGCAGGTTGAGAACTGCTGCCCTAGATGCTAGTCTGATGCTCTAAAGGCTTTTGATTTCAAAATACATACCCAGGCTCACATTTGTGTGCTCATAGCTGACATCGGCCCCCACGTTAATCCAATCTAAAATGGGCATGCATTCGTCATATCTAGATCCCTCACCTCCCCCCCCCCCCCTCCTCAATTTAGGAAAGGAGAGCTATCCACTACTGGACTCTACCAGAAGCAAACCAGATTAGTTTTAGAGCTCAAGATAGACAATGAAACATGGTCTCTCTCCAATGTGGCATTTAAAAAGGAAAATACTGAAAAGATCCGCATGCTGCTCGCCCTCTTGAAATTAATTTTTTCAAAACAATATTAGCTAACCAGCTTATCAGGAAGTACACTACAGACTGCCATGTAGTATGTGAGTGCTGCTACAACAAAACAATGAAATATAACAGGATTTAACAATCTGACAAATACAGTCACAAGACTTTACAATCTGACAAATACAGTCACAAGACTTCACAATCTGACAAATACAGTCACAAGACTTTACAATCTAACAAATACAGTCACACAAGACTTTACAATCTGACAAATACAGTCACACAAGACTTTACAATCTGACAAATACAGTCACAAGACTTTACAATCTGACAAATACAGTCACAAGACTTTACAATCTAACAAATACAGTCACACAAGACTTTACAATCTGACAAATACAGTCACAAGACTTTACAATCTGACAAATACAGTCACACAAGACTTTACAATCTGACAAATACAGTCACAAGACTTTACAATCTGACAAATACAGTCACACAAGACTTTACAATCTGACAAATACAGTCACAAGACTTTACAATCTGACAAATACAGTCACACAAGACTTTACAATCTGACAAATACAGTCACAAGACTTTACAATCTGACAAATACAGTCACACAAGACTTTACAATCTGACAAATACAGTCACAAGACTTTACAATCTGACAAATGCAGTCACAAGACTTTACAATCTGACAAATACAGTCACAAGACTTTACAATCTGACAAATACAGTCACAAGACTTTACAATCTGACAAATGCAGTCACAAGACTTTACAATCTGACAAATACAGTCACAAGACTTTACAATCTGACAAATACAGTCACTAGACTCACCCTTGGCTCCAACACCATAGGAACGAGCAGGCTTGAGCTCTCTCTCAGCCTTGGCATACTTGGCTGCGGACACCATCTTCATGGATTTGGTGATTTTCTGAATATTCTTCACCGACTTCAGACGGAGGCGAACTAAAAAAAAAAAAAAAAGGAGAAAATATATACTGACCTAACTAAGCTTTAGCTATTCCCACCTCAGATTGACATCTTTAGTACAGTACAGGGACAGCTGTCAAACCAATTAACTGTCTCATCACATTTCTGAAGTACAGGGGTAGCTGTCAAACCAATTAACTGTCTCATCACATTTCTGAAGTACAGGGACAGCTGTCAAACCAATTAACTGTCTCATGACATTCCTGAAGTAAAGGGACAGCTGTCAAACCAATTAACTGTCTCATGACATTTTTGAAGTACAGGGACAGCTGTCAAACCAATTAACTGTCTCCTCTGAGTGGCTACGATTTGTGCTGGTCCATGGCCATTTTAAACAAATTCACAGCTAACTACACCTAGAGGGGGGAAAAAATACTAACCACTACCCTGTGCATGTGCCTGGCAATATTACAATGGTGGCTTGGAAAAGAGGGTGATGAAATGTGCAGTTTGTTTCAGGCGAGGCAGTTGTCAACCACCGCAAAGACAGACACAGGACATTGAAGAAGCATTGGAATTTAAAAGGGCTATCTTCTGAATAATGGTCCCAAATTATTGAGGCAGAAAATATACCCTAACAGGGCCTCAGTCACATGTCAATTGCGCACTTCCGGGGACTATACCGCCACCGCCGAAATACAAACTTCCAGGACTATACCTCCACCGCCAAGAGTATCCCCCACGCCGCGTGGATTGGGGCTAAACTAGATCAAACTAACGAGCAAATAAAATCTGCTTGTGAGTCCCAGCCATCTAGTTTAGCCCCACGCGGCGTGGAAGATACTCTCGGTGGTGGCAGAAGTGCGCAGTTTAAGTCACCGGAAGTGCGCAATTGACACGTGACTGAGGCCCTGTTAGGGTATATTTTCTACCTCGATAATGTGGGACCATTATTCGAAAGATAGCCTTTAAAAGCAATGGGACTGGAGAGCTGGCTATGGAAAGGGATAGTTTTAGTTGTGCCGTGAAGAGAGCGACGTTCTGTAAAGGACTTGCTGATTGATGGACCACTAAGACGTTGATACCAGTATCAATTGTTTAACTAATAATAAAAAAAATTATGAACACCAAAGAGTACATAATAATATCTTCCTGAAATTAAATACATAAATTAACTTACTTTCTTTTAGCGTGGCCATACCACGGGCCTGTGGCTGACCCCTGTGGGAAAAAAAAATAACTGCCATTTTTAAGAAAAGAACAAAGTGAAGACTTGCCTAGCTTAGCAAATAACAGGTGGAAATGTTTTTATTAATGAAATGCTCAAAAATAATTATTCAATGATAATAACTCCCAAATTTTTTTTAAGAGTAAATTTTAATCAACAGTCTTCTTAAATATATCACTTACTGACATGAACCCTTTTGTTCAAGCATTGTTGTGACCTTCGGACCAAAATATTCAGGTGTGCAGGCTGATAGATTAACTGCTGGTGCTACTCTGGGCAACGAGCTATTTTATGATAAAATGATCATGGTGAAGGCTCTCTGGGATTAAGAGGACAGTCCAACAAAAGAGACGAGTGTCCATACCTCGAAAGACTGATCTGATGGCAGTAAAAAGATGATATAGGCGGTTTTCAGTATGTATTTAATCTGGTTGCAACTGGCAACCTTCTCTTTTTTATCCTGTACCTTGACAAAACGGGGAGCGGGAGGGAATACAGCCATCTCTAAACTCACTGTGGATTCCTTTATCTACTGACAACCTATGACTTTATTATGATACTGGACTCAAAACAGCAAATTCAGCAGTTTTGAGATCAATAATAACAAACTGCTGATGTACGATTAGATTAGACTGGTGTCATTCGCTGGGTCAAATAATCAAAACTGCAGAAATCAAGTTGAAGACACGACTGCTATGAAATAATTATGGTATGCTTAGGGTCACACATATGACTACTATTCGAATAATATGCTTGTTAATAGTAACTTACTAACTTTTTCAGATTCTTGGATTGTGTCCCATCTCTTATCTACTCTAAGTACTACTTGTAGTTTTATAACTAATCAATTCAATGCATAAATATTGTTTCAACAATGCCTTAATTCAGGATCAAAGCACTAGCACTAGCTTTGTCTTGTCTTACATTATGTCCTCCGAAAATAAGACAATAAATAATACTATTTTAAGTGGTGGTGAGAGGCAGATAATAAAACAAACACCAACAAACTCAATTCTAGATACACACACAAATAATAAATAAAATTAAAATGTGTCCTCGACATATTTTAATTTTAGCAGGTTTCAGGAGTTCAATACTGAATGCACCAATTTCAATCTCACCGATAAATCAGTAATTGTAATCATCAAAATTCATTCAAAAAACGTTAGCAGTTAATTCTTTCAATATCAATCCAATCAATCTGTGCTCTTTTCTGATGAGCTAACTAGTAACTTAGACACTTAGAAACTAGAAGCAAAAGATGATTTACAGTTACTGTAACTGTGTGGTGACTGACTCTGGACTCTTCCCGCAGTCTTTACTTTTCACCTTCCCATTTCATAAAACATTGTTGTATAATGAATCCTTTTGCTATCAGCCTGATCTTTTGTAACTAAATAACATCTTACAAATATCTATCTTGCAAACTGAACAAAATAAAATAGCATTTACCATTGTGGAGCTAGCAGAGGCGCTGCCCTTGAGAAGATCGTCGCCATGTTGCAAAGAGAAAGCCGGAACTATGTCACAGCAAGTTACCGACAATCCTCTCATGTAACCGAAAAGTTCAGAGGTTTTTTTTTGTTTTGTAAATATGGAAATCGTTAAATCTGTAACAAAGGTAGACAGTAATAGAAGACTACTGGGTAATATCAAGCAGTATGTCTTCTTCTCTTTACCCAGTTACATCAACATTCTACACTCAGATACGAACGTATCATCAAATTGCTGGTAGTCTGGTCTGGTAGTCTTAGTTTCAGCTTCATAGCAAACGGGTCACCCCATCTTTGCTCCGCTCCTGTGCCAACGAAAAACACACAGAATGTTTATCACAGTATTACAATTGCAGTTCATCATTGATGATAGCAGAAGTCGCCAACAGATCAGCAGTTGCCCGCGCGATCAATTTTAATCACATACGGGCACCACAACACTTCACGACAAATTGCTACTGGCAGCATCGGAATTGGAACTGTTCTGTAACCAACACAGAACAGACGTCATCATTTACACTTGCGGAGCTTTTGCAAAGGAGATCGGAGCACCTATGTATCTGCCCGGAGTGCTGTGGTGATAATCCTCACTAATCACTGTACGCTGCCTGCTGAAGATGAGGACAGCGCTTATGGGAATATCCCCCAGGGCTGTGATGTCGTCGTCTCTTAGTTTAAATAAATAAATAAATGACGTTGTATAAGGTTGATATTCATTTCTCTAAGGTACCCCATGTAGGCTCTGAGCTCCACCCCCCCCCCCCCCCCCCCCCCCCCATTGTAGGGGAAACAAGAGAAGACCTACTGCCTCCCCAACAAGCATGTCGTAAAAGTAGACTAATTAGGGGTTTCCTTCAAAGTGGGAGTGCGTCTGACCGAGAGGTAAGGAACCAACAGTCTGCATACAAGTAAGCAAGATCTGTAAAATAAATGCTCCCAACAGGTGAACTCAAACAAACAATATTTCTTTAAGGCTGCTCTTTATGCCGTCGTTCCATGTTTTGTATAGCCACCTCGTTCTCTGTGTTTACTGTATTTATCCAATGTTGCTCTCTGTGGAAGTTGGTACCACGACATTCTCGCTAAGAAGTGACCAATTCTACTTATTTTTTTAGGCTGACTGACACATCGGCGACTGGGTCACCCATTCGCTCGCCTGGAAACGACTTCGTCTCCGGTCAGTATTTCTTTTTTGATCGCATCAACAAAGAAGGAGTCCTTTTAGGGTTCTTTTTGGCATACAATGCTAAGCCTTTTTTTTTTTTTTTTGGCGCACGTAATCTAGTCGCAATTATAACCTTAAGCTCTTCCTTCGGGAATGCTGGTTGAACGTGACCATTTTTTTTTTTTTTTTGTCCAGCAAAGTACCTATCTTTGGGCTGATTTTTTCCAGCCCCTACTTCAGTCATCATTCTCGCATGCCTATCTCATAAACTGCATCCGTACCTGGCAAGTCAGCTTCGATATGCGTATTATTAGGTAACCATCAGTCCCCTATAGATCATGGAGTTCTGCTGCCGGTTTTGACAACAACGTCTGCTATGACTGTAAAGTCCAATACAGAAGTGACAGACTCGGTGCTTTATTAATATCTTACCCAAAACAGGGGAACTCCACAGCTCACGGGACAGTCTAATATTTCTGCATGCATTCGTGGGACCTAGGCCGCAATTTCTGGTGGGAAGTAGGTGGGTTGAGCGTTAGGGCCAGTTTTAGATGTTTTAGGGTCGTTAAAAAAAAAAAGAAAGCCGAGAAACTCAGTCTTACCACACTCTAAAATGTTGGACTGTCCTACCTGAGGTAGGATATACAACATTATCCAAATAAGGCTTTTATACTCTACTATAATGAGCCTGGTTTTTTATCCTAAACGTGTATTCTCTATAGTTTGCTGCGTTTGGCATCTTGCAGGCTGCGACTTTCTGCCTTTCACGGGAGTTGGTGGATAGCTGATCTTTCCAGGTGCCTGTGCCAGGGTTGGCATCTTTAATGTGGTGTATGTATCCTTTGGAATGCGACCGTTCTGCGTGCGAGAGACATGTCCCAACGAGCGCAGGTATCTTTGCTTCAGTAGAACTTAAACTGTTGGCATAGGTATTGGAAAGAGCAGGTGTTACAACAGTCTTCTCAATGCTTAGTCTACGAAGGCGCAGGTGACTGTGTCATACCTGGGGAATGGAGGATGGCAGAGTCCCTAAGGACATTCTTTATGGTGAACTAAAGACGGGTAGAAGATGCCGAGGCCGACCTCTACTACGATATAAAGACGTGTGCAAGTGGGATATGAATGATACAGGTACTGAGGTGGATTCATGAGAACAAATTGCCATGGACCGTGTTGTGTGGAGGGCACACATCAGGAAGGGAATAGTGGCGCGGTGATTTATGTCACAGGCGTGAGGGGAAGTTAAGTCCAAAATGATGTGTATAAGGAGATACTCCGTACGTCACTCGGGCGCCAGTCCTTTAATATCCTGGTTGTACGGAACCTCACGCAAGACCCCGGCAGCACGTCCTCGTCGTGCGCCACGGATAATGTCTCAAATGAGCATTAACAGAGCTGTCAGGGGATCTCGGAGTTTGGCGGCCCCCAGAGGTGATGTGTCCTTGTGGCTCTCATCAGCCCGCCCCCAAACGCTTGGGTGAAAAATGTTATCAAAACTCATTAGGAACATGAGTAGGTCTGCCAAACGTACAGACAAAATTACAACCCTTGGTTAAAAGTGCGGAGTAAAGAGAACATTGTTCACTGCACATCCTCTGTTAACCCTCAGTGTCGTCGTCACCGCGCTGGGGTACACCACAACAGCAACCATCCATAGGCTGGCCATTCATGTACATCCTCGGTTAACTCTCAGTGTCGCCGTCACCGCGCTGGGGTACACCACAACAGCAACCATCCATAGGCTGGCCATTCATGTACACCCTCGGTTAACCCTCAGTGTCGTCGTCACCGCACTGTGGTACACCACAACAGCAACCATCCATCGGATGGCTAAGCCTAAATTTCCGACAAAACTAGATCATACGGATCAAAATCTGACCTCAAAATTTGTATTGAACTGAAAAAGACCGAATGTCCACATTCAAAGTCACCACTCGCCCGAGTGTTGGGACAAAACCGATAACGATATGCCTGATGCAGGATGTAAAATTCTGTCGGGCTAACGGCTCGTCAAAGAAATCTAACGTGCGAAGAAAAAAGAATGTACCTATCTGTGTGGTTACAAAAGTCCAAAACTCACGGGCTGCTCCCCGCTGACTCCCAGAGGGCGCAGCCCCTGTCGAGCGGGAGGCCTGATACGGTTGTGAGGTTAAGCAGGCATGTGCAGGACGTGACGATTCCTTGGGTGAGCCCAGAACCAGAGCGCCATGTGCCGGCTCTGCATACATGGATGGCTCCTTGGATGGCGGGGAATGCCCATGATCTGCCCCTGCCTTCCCTTGAGGGCTAACTGTTCCACAGGGGGCTGACCCAAAGGGGTACTCCGGGGGCAATGCCTGCGGCAAAGGAGACAAAGTGGACACCACACAAATCAGGCAACGTCTCGACCCACACAAAACAATGGCCACAGTCACCCTAGAAATAGGCCTGACGTCTTCCTTCGAAGTCGGCGTACAGCTGCCCATGAGGCAGGGAAATGAAAAACGGTTGTACACGCAAAAATCAGGTCCAGGTGAAAGCCAAAAGTCCAAGCGGACGACTAACCTGACCTTCCACTGGAATTCACAGCCGGTGTTCGATGAAAAAAAAAAAAGAAAAGGAAGGGAATGAGAATAAAGGAAGAAATGATTGCAGAAAGGATGAGAGCTTAGCGTCTGGAAGGAAAAAAACAGACTTACCACAAAAGCTCACAACAATGGTCCTGAAATCCCATTCTATAACTGTGGAAGACTTTTCTTAACGCAGGCGAGACTTCCTAGTCACACTCGCCATCGCTATGGGCTGTAAGTCTCATGGCTCCTCACAGCGCAATATAACACTATCGCCTGGAAAGACGGTAAGGTGATAATCAATCATCATTATGTCCTTATATCGAAGCCTAGGCATTCCCGCTGGTCTTTTCCCTATTACCAGTTCCTTACACCGGAGATTCTTTAGAATGCAACCCTCCTACGTTCGAGAGACATGTCCAAGCTAGCGCAGGCGCCTTTGCTTCTGTAGAAGTACATTATTGGCATTCCTGCTCTTTTTAGTGCACTTTCTCCCCGTGCTGGTTTCAGAGTCCCATTGTGGAGAAAACAAGAATAGACCCACTGCCTCCCTAACATGCAGTCGACTTAACGGGGGGGGGGGGGGTGGGGGGTTGATGTGAAGTAGGAGTGCTTCTGCATGAGCGGCAAGGTAAAACAAAATGCACACAAATAAGCCAGTAAAACGGATGTACAGGCAAAATTCAGACCGTGGCACAAAGCAAAGTCTAAAGGGACGAACTACAAGAAAAAGAAGAAAAATACACATTCGTTGGGGACAGAGTCTCGCCATGAAATGCCAATATTGTGTCTCATACATAGCACATGAAAAGTATTCAGAGGCGCTGGAGTAACCTCTTCAAAGTAGATGCCTAGACACGTTGAATTTGAGTACAGGCTGTTACCCAGGCAGCAAGTATCCCCTTTCTATATCACTGGTAATGTCACGTGAAGGGAAATTGCCAATAGAGCTTGGCATCCAAGGCGCTGCAGGAATTGCGGGAGCAGCAATGTAAACACCGTTAAACCACTTTAGGTATACCAGCACCAGAGTTTCCCTCATGGTTTACTCCTGAAGTGCTTTCTCTAAATAGGGTATTGCCGCGAGGCACTGAAGTTTGAGATCAGAGTTTTCCTTTTTAAAGGTGAGCTGAATTCCCGTGCTGACAAACCTCATCTGCCCGAGGTTTAAAAACATAAGTTTTCCTTCTCCTAGATGAGTCGCACTTCCGTGCTGACGAATATCACTTGCCCGAAGCATCTGGTTAAAGCACCAGAGACCTACTTTCGCTCCTTTTCCTGTGGGTTTAAAC